TGCACTTGGGAGTCCCTCAGGAGAAGTATTGCTGAATGAATCAATTCAGCCCCATAGGTATGTTTCTCCATCTGCTTCCAGAAAGAGACTAAGAAAATATGACCATTGAATGTATATGTGTGGGGTTGGGAGGGGGGCGGGGAGTGAGAGGAGATTAAAATGCTGGGAACCTGAGCTAAGAGAAGCTGCTCTAATTGAACCCATTACTTAATGCTGGTCTTCCCAGACACTGAAGCAGGAAGGGGGAAGCAATTGAGGTTAAGGGGAGAGAAACATTTCCTGGCCTGAACTTCTGGAGGCGTTAACTGAATTCAATTTTCTGTGAGGGACATTGAGTGTCTGCATGGGCAGTGTCTTCCATGATGATTTTACCGAGAAGAGCTGTTCTACACGTGGCCGTTTGCTACACCAGCCTGGTCAAAGCTCAGGGGATGATGGGTCATTAACACCCTGGCAAAGCGTTTGCACGGGGAAGGAGTTGGAGTGAGGACTCCCAGCGGGTGGCTTTGCAGAGTGGTGCTGGGTCAGGTGGAAGAAGGTGCCTCCTTAGGGTCTTCTGAGAACCAGCACCCCATTGAGGACATGCTGTCCCCAGGGTTGGCCTCATCACACAGAACTGAAAGCAAGAATAATCCTGCAGCCTGCACTTTAGCTAGAAGGATGACCCCTCATGAGGCCCCCAGAAATGCTGCCAGTGTCTGAAATTGGCCCTTAGGTCATTCCTCCAATATCTCAAGGGTCATGGAAGTCCTTTTGGTGTGTCCACCATCAACTGAGTTTTTTCCTCAAAAGAAACATGGTACCTTGCTTTGCAGAGCAGCTGACATGTTGGTGAGGAACTCCAACCAATGAGAAGATAAGCAGCTTTGATGCATGGACCCTATCTCCCTCTTGCAGGTCTCCCAACCTCCCAGCACAGCCCCTGACCTGGACCCTGGACCAGTCACCACCAGGATGTTTGAGGAGATGAGGCTAGGAATGGAGATGAACTTTGCCTCAACGAGTTCCCAAAGAATTGCACTCTGTCTCTACCACCTCAATGGAAGTTCTCGAGTTCTGACACTGCATTCCCAAAGTGTAGCATGGTACTTGGAATGTCCTAGGTATTGGGACATGTTTACCAACTAAATAAATGATGGATGGGTTGGCCTGGCCTGCCCCATTAGCAACCTGTCCTTGCTGGCATAGGTAGCCACTGGGTTATGGCACCATCCCCACTACCATGGCTAATGAAGGTGACTCGTGGTAATGGTAGCAGTCCTAGTAAGTCACTGTATTCATTTAAGGCTAGGTAAACGGATCCAAGAGAAAGAACACAGTGAGCACATGGGCTTTCTTTTCTTTTCTTTTTTCTTTCTTTTTTTTTTTTTTGCTTTCACAACTTTTGAGTATAGCTTGCAGGTTTTGCAGAAAGATGCCGGGTTGGTGCTGCTCAAGGGTGTCCGGGCAAGGGGTGAGAAGGGACTGGAGTCCAGACTGGGTTCTACTCCTAGCTGTTTGGCACCAATCTGTGCCTCATTTCTACAAAGGCCCCATATGGGCTCCAGTGACCCTCTCTGAGAGGCATTTGGTTGTTGTTTAGAAAAGTCCTAATTAGGGAATCCGTACCATTTATCATCTCCCAATTTATCACTATATTTCAGATGTGCAGGTGCATGGACCATGTTGAGGATTTGCCACTCACCCCTGAAGGAAGTTTGGTCTCAGGAACCTAGTCAGGTCTTGCTGATCAGCTTGGGGCAGTGACCTGAGCTTGGGCATCTGCTCTAGGGGAAGCTAATCTCTCTTAATTCAATTTAAATTGACTGAGCACCTTCTCTGTGCCAAGGGCAGTGATAGGTCTGGGGACAAGGAATGCATATGATGTTATCTCTGCCTTCAGGACCTCACAGACTGTATCAGGTCAAGAGCCTTTTGAATCAGCCCAGATGTAGACCTGAATCCTAGGCCCATATTAATTTCAAGGAGGTGCTCCTTGCAACCTGCACCCTACACGCCAGCCACATTCTTTACTTCTCCTTGAGTTTTCCTCCAAGCCCAGGCTCCTGAATAATTTCCCTTTGGGCTGCCTCCTGGCCATCACCACCCCAGCAGCCGTCTGAATGTCTGGCATCCATCCTGTCCTTGGCCTCTGGCTGGCCCGGGGCTGGCACCATGCACACGATCATCTGTATCACTTTCCACCCAACATGATTATTAATGGTAAAAAGCCCATCGTGCAGAGCCCTTGGCAGCTGTTTTTATCCTGACAAGTCAAGGAGTTCTTTATAACGGTTTATAAAACCATTAAGAAAATCCCTGTGCACATAGGTGGCTTGCTTGGCAGGAAGAGTTCTGTTGGTGACTTCCGCAGCTGGCTATCTCCCGGGAGGAATGATGCCAAGGTTGGTGGGAGCTGGCAGAGCAGGAGAAGGAAAGATTTCAAGGGATGTCGCCAGCTGCTTGTTTACAGATTTAAAAAGCTCTACATTCCATCCCAGATGTCACCCAGGTGGGACGTCATTTCTCTCCAGAGTTTGGTAGCCAGATCAGTTCTGGAGATGTCCAGAGGAGGAGGCCAATAAAATAACCCATGAAGTTATCTTTCCTCTCTGTTATCCTGATAAAAGCCTGGGACAGATTTCCTTCCCTCTGGTCCCTCCATTACCTGTCCCCATGCTGAGTACCATACCTGCTGGGCGTACTTGTAGAAAATGCTTTGTTGGGAGCCATTTTCTGGAAGACTTGTCTAGATCAAAGGGAAAATAGCCCACATCAAATTTTTGGAAAAGGAAGGCACCTGTCTGGCACAGTGAGGGCACAAGAACCCCCCAGTTGGATCTTGGACAGAGGCTTCATCCAACAATCGGGTGAAACCTTTAGGGGAAGGGGAAAATGGAAGTTGGTGGAAAGAAGATGGTTGGGCCCGGCCTGGCCTTGGAGGCCTGGCCTTCTCCCCTCTGCCCTGCCCCTTTGAGCCATCACCATCCCATTATAATGTTTGTTTTCATTGGTCAGTGATGAGGAAAGAAGGAAGAAGATAGAAGCTCTTGGGGATGGAATGTGGCCAATGAGACCTACCCACCACCTTCCTGCACACCTACCTGCAGTGCTCTGAGGTTGAAACCACTGCCCAGGTTCCTAGAAAATCAGGGGGACAGTGTGACAAGGATGCCCGCTCACTGTTCAAAGGGGTCTTGCATATGGAGGGCACCCCAGGGGGCACTGATGCCAAGGACTGAGTGGAGTGCCCTAGGCAGAGCAGGCTGTGAAGTGGGCAGCTCTGACAGTTGGCAGACAATGACCATCATGACCACATGTCCAGTCTTTTGGGCCATCTGGTCCTTAACCATTTAGGAAGTGGTTCCTTCCACAAGATACACATGGACAGCAACCTTCATTGCCAGGATGGCAGATAAGCTTCACCTCAAGTTTACTCTGCCTGGTAGCCCAGTGGCTGCCTGGCACGCTGGACTGAGAAGCCTCCGTCCATGTTCCACTGTGAAGACCGCTATGACTGCGGAGATGTCTGGCTCGGGTCAAGGAGAGGGTGAGCTGCCCAGCAGGGTGTACATTTGCTGACCCGTCTTGACCATGGACATGGCATTGAATGTGCTTTAATGGAATTAGGTAGGATTTGCAGTTAGAACCCCAGAGGTTCTTACCGGTCCGGGTCTGGCATTTTCAGGAAGATTCGAAGCAAGAACTCAACTGCTTCTGTGCGCGCAGACGCGACGGCCACGTAGGTCCCCGGGCTCAGCGTGAAGCACTTCGTGAGGTTGTACTTGGTTTTAGTCACGATGCCCTTGTCAGCACTTCTGAATCGGGAAAAAAAGGTGGACGGCAGTCTCTCCTGGAAGTGCCGAAACTAGAGGAAACGGGGGACGGTGAGAAAGCCCCCGTGGGTGTGCGTCCCAGCCACCAGGGCGACCCTCCGCCTTCCAGACGCCTCTTCATTAACCAAACAGGCCCTAATGAGGGAGACGGTGCTAGGCCAAACCCTCAAAATGCAAGAGGGCTTAGACTGATATTTAATATAGATGCTAACACTATAATGAATGTAAAGAAATATGACAAGAGGTTTTATCTCATTAAATCTAATAGCATCCTGGATTCTGGGTTCACCTCTCTGCTTACCTATATATGAAGAATTTCATGGAAACTAGTGAGACTGTTTTAACACTGGGTTCCTCCAGGAGCCCCCAGGCCCCTCTGCCCTGTACCTTCTGCGAAGCTCTCTCTGTATTGCCACAGTAGGGCTCCCTGCACTTCCTCCATTTCATCTTTCCAGCGGAGCCCTGAAATTTCTTCTCATTGGAGAATAATAGGCCCTGATCATTTTCCTTTTATTTCAATATTTTCTTAGAGATAAAACAATAAATATAACACAGTTCCCATTACCGGATGTCACATACATATTACACAATAAAAGCCCCTTACTAAATAAATTTTCCCCAGTACAGTCGAGCATGGGCATTCCATTTAGAATGGTTACACTGCATGACATGATTATTTGTGAGCTCCGCCTTGGGGGAAAACAGGGAGAAGGGGAGAGGGCTTTTTTGTTCTTTTTTCAGGGCTGGAAACAGGGCTGTGCTACAAGATGAGACGGGAGACAGGCGGCTGTCCCAGGAATGCACCAGAGTTCTGGATGGAATCTCCAAAGTGATGCTGTTGACATGCCCAGCAGGCCCAGTGGGTTGGGAACCTGACTTGCTTGAGCCCTTCTGGCAAAAGTAACGATGAGCTTAGTTCTTCTACACAGCCAGCACCGTCCTGTGGCTCTGTGTGTGCGCATGCATGCACACATGTACGCACATGTGGGTATCATGTCCCCTACAATGTAGAAGAGAAGGTTTTCCCTGCTTCCCTGCTCTCCTCCTCTCCTCCCTCCACTGGGCCCTTGTTGCCCTGCCCAGACTCCTGATCCTGCAGAACTGACTTGCTCAATGGCAGCAAGAACTGTGAATGTGGGGGCCTGGCGAGGGCTCTTGGTCCATGGGTGTCAGTCCTTAACACTTGACCGACAGACAACAGAGGCGTGAGAAGCCCAGTGAGGGCGGTAGTGAGCCATACCTGAGGGTCGACCTGTGGGGAAAGAGAAGAAAGGCAGAATCAGAAACCCAAATCAATACCCAAGGCAAGCAGAGCCAACAGCCTGGCTCAGGGCCCTGCATTCCTTTTTTCTGTGCGGTCTGCCTGTTGCCTGGCACACCGAGGGATGAATGGGGACCACTGCACATGGCCTGTGTGGAGCTGTGAAAAAGGAAAGCGAACCCGTTGTGGGGAGCAGGTAGGGAAGGACCTGGAGGAGGGGAGCAGGTGCCTGAGAGGAGGAGACTCGCCCTTTGTCAGCTCAGCCAGATGTGGTTACTCATCACAGCAATGATGACAAAATTGGGAGGAAAAGTGAGACGTTGATAGGGCCTGGAGGTCAGACAGAACCTGGACCACGGTTTGAGCAACAAGCATTAGAGCGCGGCACGCCAGAAAATGCTGGCGTGGGCGGGTGTGTCGCACTGTAAACGTGGTCAAGTCTAATCCTCTCTCTGTCAGGTTTTCCTGCAAGTTTAGAGTTGGACCGGATGAACTCTATAGCCCCTCTGGGTTGTATCTCCAAGGCTGTGGTTTTAAAGGACAAACCCTGAAGCAGGCGGCCTTACCTTGAACACCTGGAAGTTTAGTGGAAATTTCCCATCTTCTGCCTTTACATTTTGTGGCCTGATGTTGAAAGACACGATGACATTGTTGCCTTCCACGCTCTCAGGCACAGAGAAGATGTACTGTGTGTCCCTCTCAAGTCCTGCAAGAGAAAGAGCTGGCGCTGGAGTTCAGCCCAGCTCCTGGCTCCTGGGACTGGGGGGTGAGGTGGGGGGACATCGAGTTCAGAGAGCCCTGGGGGTGGTTGGTGGTTAGAACCTCTGGGTGTGAAGACCTTAGGCCCGGGCCCCAGTGTTCATAGTTACCAGCTGTGAAATCAGCTTCTTTATTTTGTGAGCCTCAGTCTCCTTTTAAAAACAAGGAGGAGAAGTACATTCACCACTTGGTGAAAATGTTTCTTCAACTACAGAGATGAGTCCAGCAGAGTGAAGAGCCTGGAGGTTGACAAGAGGGACACCCTGGCGGGTGGGGTCACTCAGCAACCCGTTCAAGACAGGCAGGTGCCAAGGAGAGGGAATGCACATGTCTAGGTGCACACACACCCACACACACTCACACACATACACTCACATACACACACACTCATACACACACACCCTTTTTGGAGAGTTCCTTTCTCATTATCACCTGGATGTCTGTCCAAAACGCACCTCAAAATATGTCAATCCTTTCCCATTGTTACCTCAATGACTCTCTCTTTTCTCCACCCCACCCTCCACACACACATGCACACACACGCACACACACATACACCCCACACACACTCATACACACATGCACACCCCCACACACACAATCATATGCACATACACACACACACACATCCCCACACACACTCATACACACATGCACCCCCCCCACACACACACACACACACGAACACACACACGTTGTTTCACAGCCTCTCCTATGCAGGATATGTAAGCACACTCAGGGTCACCCTCACAGGGAGCTGTTCCACTCATCCTTGTCACACGCGGGGAGTGGGAGTGCAGTGAGAGTAGGTGACACTCCCAGGGTCACCGCCAACATGATTTATCTCCGGAGCCCGGAGCCAAGCTCCGAGGGCTTCCTCTGCTTCCGTGCCCTGCAGCAGGACACGCCGACCCGGGGCAGGGATGTTCGCCCGCACATCTGGGTGGTGCTCGTGGTGTCTAGGGCCAGACAGGGATTACCAATCCCACTGTTCACAGGAGCAGGGGCTGAGGACAGACACCAGCAACATTCCCAGAGTCACAAAGCCAGTACGGGGCAAGGACAGAGTTCAACCTAGCCCTCCCACTGTCCTGGAAATGACTGAGGGGCAGCGGACCTATTCTGGCCCTGGGAGACAGTGGGAGAGTGAAAGGCCAGGGAGACACATCTGAGATTCTCCTGCCCACCCACCAGCACCCATTTCCCTTGGGGAAGTACTGCTATCCCTTCAGGCTGACAAATTCCTCTCCGTCCAACTTCAGGCTGATGGGTCAGAATTAAGAGCCATTCAAAGCTGAAACTAGGACGGGGCCAGGGCTGGCAGCACCCGTCTGCCAGGATCATGACCAGTCAAACTACCTGTGGTGTTCCCTGGAGTCATGTGGTTCTTAAACGTCATTTGGGACCATCTTTCATGGGGCATGTGTCCCAGGTCAAGGCTGACTGGAAACTGGTTACATACATACAGGCAGGAGAAGTTGTTTTGGAAATCTCGACATGACATCCTGTTAAGAATAGATACTCGTCACTTAATGAGCACTGTTTTTATCCCCAGGGTGGGGGTTCCCCTCACTTCCCTGTACTTTTGCATGTCAGCTGCAGTGTTCACTGACTTACCACTCCCCACCCCAAGATCAGAGCCTCCTTCTCATTCTGGGTCGCCTGAGGTCAAGTACCCTTCCGCTCCCTGCCGTGGCTGGGAGGACAAGGGCAGAGGCAAATCCTGGGTTTTGCATGTCACCTGGCAAAGGCTGGATTGCTGACTGCCATCTCCTTGACCCACAGATCAAACTGCCAGGCTGCTCCCGGCCAGCGGGACGGCGGCCAGTCCCTCTGCCAGGAGTCCTCTGTGCTGCGAGGAAACCGCCTTCCCCTGGGGCCCTTTGCCAGTTTCATTGTCGAGGTTTTTATCATCAGAATAAAATGAATTCAACACCTAACATCTTACCTCATGCTGTGATTAAAGTGGAGATATTGGGAATATTTTTCCTTCTAATTTACATTCGTCCCCCTGGTTCTTAATTACTTAGACCCTGCCTCCTTTTCCCATATGCTAAATTTCATTTTCTGTGTCACTAAGTAAACCAGACAGCCCCTCAGAGAAATGTCCCTCTTTTCCTTTAAGATGAGAGCATATGGCCAGAAATGTGTTTTCACAGCATCTAGTCCTACAATAGCCACTGGGCGGAGACACCAGTGTCTGACTGTGAGCTCTAGAGCCTGGGCTGGGCGATGAACCAAGCTAACTCTTCTGGAATTCCTGCAGGAAAACTGGGGAACCCCCAGCTCCCAACAAGAAGCACAGGAGAGCCCAGCAGGGTGTGGCTCAGCAGTTGAGCATCAACCCAGGAGTTAAGAGATTACCGGTTCGATTCCCGGTCAGGGCACATGCCAGGATTCCAGGCTCAATCCCCAGTAGGAGGGCATGCAGGAGGCAGCTGATCAATGATTCTCTCTCAATATTGATGTTTCTATCTCTCCCTCCCTCTCTCTTTCTCTCTGAAATCAATCCTATATTATAAAAGGCTAATATGCAAATTGACCAAATGGCAGAATGACTGGTCGCTATGACACTCACTGACCACCAGGGGGTAGATGCTCAACACAGGAGCTGCTCCCTGGTGGTCAGTGCGCTCCCATAGGGGGAGCGCTGCTCAGCCAGAAGCTGGGCTCATGGCCTCTGCAGCAGTGCTAAGGATATCTGGCTGCTGGACATCCCCCGAAGGCTCCCAGACTGCTAGAGGGCTGAGGGACCATGCCCCCCCTCCAACAAGTGCACAAATTTTGTGCACCGGACCTCTAGTAAAAACATGTTTATTAAGAAGCACAGGAGATAACAGGCATGAAAACCATGCACCCCAGCTTCCAGGAAACTTGTTTTCTAAGCTCCGGTGCCAATTTTCCTTTTACCCTTAACATTTCCTGGAAGTTCCAATATTTCAGAGATGAAGCATCTATCACCCAAACCGAGAACACACCAGGAATTTTCCATTCAAAGCATCTGTCTCAGTTGAGAAAAAAGGCTCCCTCTACACAGCTCTCTGCAAAGCCAATCTCTAATCTCACAAAACTTTAGGGAAAGGGGAACGCTTGAGGGTATAGGCAACTGTTAAAGATTTAAAATGCAATTTTAAAAGAAGAGTAAATACCAAAACTCGCCATCATCCTTGTTCTCATACAGCTGGCTTTTCCGTGGGTCCCGGGTTTCCTGCCACTCCGGAGACCTGGTGTGGACAGATAGACCATAGGGTGAGGCCTCCCAGAGCGTTCCATCTCAGCCACATGTGGCTCAGGAGGGGTCCGTGGCCCAGGCCTCCACTGGTGACTGGGTACAAGTGGAGGGTGTCATTCCACCTCATGACAGAATCAGTCATTCTCTATGTGCCGAGGGCTTCCAGGCTGTCGCCAGCCCGACCCTCTTTTCCGCGCTTTGGGTGGATACCTGCCAGGGTCCATCCCATGTCTCCACCAGAGCCCCACAGTGACCTCGAAATCACCTCGTCCCAAACCGGATTCCCCTCTGCCTCCTCCTGGTGCTCGAGCGAGAACATCCAACCATCATAATAATGATTTCCTGATTCCAGCTCCCAAACCCCTCCCAAAGCCACCCACATGTTTCCATCCCCATGCCTGTTTCCCTAGACCCCCCATCTCCCTCTTTGGCTTCTAACTGGTCTCCCTGGCTCATCCCTGCCCACTTTCTCACCTATTCTCTACACTGACCTCAAAATGATTTTTCTAAACCAGAAATCTGGGTATGGCATTTCCCCACTTAGAACACATCAGCGGTTGCCTTTGATGCTCAGGATGAAGGTCAAACTCCTGAGACAGCACCTTGGCCTCTACCCAACCCTCCGGCTTGACCCAAGCACTTGACCTGTTTCCCTACCCCCACCCTCGAATGCTACACTCCAGCAAGAATGAACGTCATCACTTCCTTAGAAATCCCATTATCCTCCCTCCTGCCTCTTGGTCTTCACCATGACTCTCCTTCTGCTTGTAATAGTCTTTCTCCCTTTTGTCCTGTAACCCAGGAATTTCACTTTTCTTTCCTCCTAAAAGGCACTTGGGCTGGAAGCTTTGCTTGTCCCCCTCTGCCACTTCAATTCCACCTTGGGTCAATGTTCCCCCCCACCCTGGCCTTTGAGCTCCATGGGACCCTCTCCCACTCCTGTCTCAGCACAGGGTACCCTGTGTTGCTTGTTACTGTCTGTGTGTTACTTGCCTTTGAGTCAGCTCTGACTCCCGGCCGCCTTATGAGCGATGGCTCATCAGCCCTCTCGGCTCCTGTATGCCCCTGCCTAGGGCTTCCTTTATGGAGTCATTTCCTCTCGAACTCGGTCTTTCTCTTTTCCTGCCTCCTATTTTCCCAGCATCATGGCCTTCTCCAAAGAAGCTTGATTGACTGTCCCCTCACTGGCCTCCAAGTTCCACGTGCTCAGTGAGCCTTGCTCACCATGGTAATGCTATCATCATGGGGCTTACCACATGCCTTGGCACACAGTAGGCATGCACTAATTGTTTGCTTGCTTAATCATTAAAATTATCCACTTCGTGAGGTACTGTGTTGCTGAAGCTGGTCCTAGGACCTGGGGTGAAGGAGGAGACCCTCCCAGGCAGAAGGGAACAGGTGCCCCCTCCTCAGCCTACTCCTCAATGGGGAGGCATGCTCAGGGGCCACAGGCCCAGAGGCACAGGCGGGTAAGGAGATCTTTCTCTGCCAGTGGCTTTCCTTGAGGGCCGAGGGAGCTGGGTCCCCTCTGTGCTGGGAGGGCCAGGCAGGCACCACCCCTCAGGTCCTGGCTGCAGGCTGAGCCAGTCAGATGTGCTATTGTAAAATGGCAATTTTATAATTAAGCGATAATTACATTTTTTGCAGTGTGTAAGGGAAAATAAATGTAGTGTAAATCAATACGCTATTGATTCATGCGAGTTTGCCTTCAAGTGTGTGCGACTGAAATTCCAATTGTGGCCGGGATTAGACCATCCGGCTCTCTCCTTCCGCCCCCATTCTTTAAAGAGGAGAGAGGAAACAGACCACCTGCGTGGAGACAGTGCTCATGCAGTCCTGTCGCTTCCTTCCAGCCTGGTTTCTGGTGGGAAATGGCGAACCTCAATGTTCAGCCCAAACACCTGACCCTACAGAGTCGGTCCCTGCGGTGTACACATCCCTCCCTGCTCAGAGGCCTTCAGAGGGTGTAAATCCAAACGTCTAAACTGGCATTGGGTTCAGCCCCAGCTCCCAACACCTCTCTCCCCAGCTCCTCTGCCCCAGGCCAACTTGTGGCCTTGAACACGCTGTAAATGTTCCTGGCTCAGCAGGTGGCCTGCACGCCCTATGCAATGATCTCTTCCGAAGGGAGTCATACCTGCTTTTGGAAGTTGAACTCAAGTTCAACCTCATTCAAGCTTTCCCTGAACAAGTGCATGCCCACCAGACGCTTCCCATCCCTGACATCCAGGGTCCCCTGCTGCCTCCCCTGGTCATTTGATATTTAGTCTGGGAGGCCTGGGTAACAAAACAGCAACTCAGGAATTCAAATTCACACCTGTCCTCCTTACCCAGGGGACTGTCATTGACGTTGGCTCCTCCCCCATCCTAGCCCCATAGCCAAATGGGAATCAGGGACTCTGGCTAAGTGTATCACCCACCCAGACTTTATTTGGCAGCTTGGGGTGATGATTGGGAAGGAGAATTGGAAAGGATTTACATTGGAAAGGGCAAAGGGTAGGCCTGGGAAGGAAGGAAGAATAGAGGCAAGAAAAAATGGAGAAAGGGTCAGAGTGAAAACATTGTTCAGTGGCTCCTGGTTTTGCAAATTCATTCTTCTTCTGTGGAGGGGGTTCGGCAGCCCAGTGCACCAGGGGCATCTTAGGTCACACCCAGGTCTACGCTGTGAATTCATGTGGCTTGTTTCCTCCCTCTCCCCTCTCTCCCTTGCTTTCCTTCCCTCTACCCCGATCCTTCCCTCTACCTCGATGGCATTTCCATCTCCCAGTGGCTGAGGGCCACCTTGTGCAGGCTCACCCATCAGCTGCTGGGGCTCACAAGGGTCACAGTCCCTGTCACAGCCTGGCTGGGGCCACTGGACCACATTCTGGGCAGGGGTGGCGGGTGGGGTGAAAATTGGGGCTGAGACACTGGCCACCTATGCAGTCACCTTCTGGAACTCACTTTTCACTGCACTTTCACTGCTTGTTGGAGGTCCGTTCTGTTTGTCTGAATGCTTTGCATTGCTTTTCAAATCCTGCTCTCTCTCCTGCTCCCTTCTCCTCTCCACACCCCGACCCCCTTCCCCACCAGCAATGCTGCTGTGGCCGCTGATCCATGTGGGTCAACACTTTCATGATCAGAGAAACACCTTTATGGGCCCAGAGGAATGCCACAAGCGGGGCCCCACCGGCCGCCCAGGGCAGCAAGTAAGTGTCACCGTCCCTCTGTCCTCAGGACCGTCATCTCATTCCCAGTCAGCAAGGGGATGGGGCTCAGGGACTAGTCCTCCTGGCAGCTGGGAAATGCCAGCCGAGCTTCTGGGAACCTCTGACCACACAACTGGATCCCCACAGTCAGCTGGGTCTGAGAGCAGCTGCCCGGGGCATGGCCAGCAGGGGCATCTGAGACCCGCTCAGCTCCATCCATTCCTACTCCGAGCAAGGTGCTGGTCCGGCACCAGCCACAGAGAGTTCGGGTCAGTAGGGCAGGGCGTCAACCCAGCCGGACTGAGTAAAACGATATCCATCCAGACCTTTGTCTCAGTTCCCTAACCCCCTCCCACTAAAGAAGTCTTTTCACCCTGAGGACACGGCGTCATCAGGACAGAATCCCAGCAATCCCAGTGATGGGTTGAGGGCCTTCTCTCCACTCTCCTGGCAGGTGGAGCTCGGCTCTTTCTCTGCCTCCACTTTTTATTTTCATGCTTTCAACCAATTCTGGGTATGAGCTCCAAAGCTTAGATTGCGACCTTCCACTGGGCATTGTCATCTGTATATGTCCCATAGCATCCACCCAACAGTGCACGTAGCACAGACAGGACACAGTCAGTGCCTAATAGATGTCTGGTGAGTGGCCTCATGGGAGTGTGAGATGGACTGACAGTCAGACAGGTGTGATCTGGAAA